TACTCGAATGATTCCAACTGATTAAATTTTCATTTTCTTGAATAATAGCCATCATTATATGCTCTTTGAAGAATATACTATTTTAATTGTTGTGGAGTGGAATTAGGTGTGGAAGTAGAAGTACTACCGCCCCATAAATTTAAAAAATTATCATCGGATTCAAATGAGTACGGGCTTCCATTATCAATAGTATCAGTTGAGGCTGTTGATATTGTTTCAGAATTCTGAAAATAAATCCCATATTCATGTAGGTAGCTATATTATTCGCATGTACGGTAGGCTTCAAAACATTCTGCCACTCAATCTAGCCATAGCCCAGAAACCTGACCAATCAAATTCGAAGTGGCTATTTTGGGTGGCATAATGTTACTACATGCGCTGCATCAGGAGTCAGAATGTCGGGACGATGATGCAGCTATTTAAAGGGTCAGAATGTTATTGCATGGGCTAGATTCAGAGTCAGAATGTTACAGGCGATAGAGCATGAGTATAAAGGTGCGTTTAGACTTGAGCACGCACGCACTGAGCATAAGCGCCAATGCCGTTTAAACCGAAGTTCCGTTTCTGACGAATGGGCTGATCCATTTTGTTCGCGAACGGCGTAGTGAACTAAATGAATATTCAAGAAATTGCAGCGGCTGCATTTATTGTGATAGTGATATCCTGCTTTTTTCGCGCCTAAATGATCCTAGGAGGCTCTTCATCTTTTCCTGCGCTTCATTAACATCTAGATGTTCAACATTCATTCCATTAACTAGTTGTTTCCGACGTTCCCGTGTGTCATATATTTTGTTTTGGAATAATACTGGGGATGATTCACATCCTATAAAATGGGCGCTTTCGTATTCTTGAATCAATAATAGTGATAAATTGTTGGACCATATTCCATGATAATAATAGCAAAGAAAATAACTCCACACTAACACAATAAAATAATAAATACAAATATTTCTACGTATGGACGCACACACCAAATTCCCGTTCATATTGAGCACGTGAATCCCTTTGAGCATGAACCAGAGACCGACACTGGTCGGCTCGCGTTCGCAGCTATTCCCGCATGGAAGATTCAGAGCGAGCGTGCGCGAACAGCCGTTTATACTAGAGCATTCGCGGTCGCTCAGTGCGTGCATGCTCAAGTCTAAACGCACCTTAACATTTAAGAAACAATATTTGATGTTAAAAAATCTATAACTATTTTTTGTTAGTGTTACACAATTCAGAAATTTAGATTTTATTTGTGTTCCCTATGGATTTTTTTCATGCATAGATTGATTAAATTGTTAGTTGTGGATTTTGGATATAAGGGGTAAATAAATTCGCATTTAGCACAATCTGAATTCCTAATATTTAAAAAATTCAAAAAATTAAGTTCCAAATTTTTCAAAGACGTTTTTGTAAAATGTTCTTCCCCTTTTTAATTTTCTGAATAAGCTTGTATTTATTCTTGTTACTGAAATATGAAGATATCGGTTTTTATAGAAAATAATTTTATAAAATTAAGCCTTAGGAAAGGTAGCGGTATCATCAACAAAATATAAGAGATTTAAATAAATAAATACATTATAATATAGATGTAGGTACATATATTGAAAAAAATATAAAATAAACATTTATTAGGCCTTTACCTTATTTAAAAAAGCACGGAAAAATAGTACCTACCTATATTAATAGCCGTTTGCACCGACTCTTTTAAGGAAGCCTTAACGATAAGTCTACCCTTAAAATGGAATACCTACTTATCGTTAAGCCTTCCGTAAAATGGTCGGTGCAAACGGCCAATAATTTGAAAAGCAAGTTTAATGTGCAGAACAATGTTTTGAGGCATTGGGACGATTTGTTCGAGCATTTTCTGCCAAATTATGTCGCCGTTTTGCTCTTTTTCATAATGGTTCGCATTGGGCTGAGCGACCTATAGTGGAGCTCTTTTGCTTCCCCTCGCTACTCCTGGTCTTCGTCGAGCAATAGCAGTTGGTTGCACGTTAGTTACCGACCTTTTAAATTATTAAAATCTTAATTTCTGAATTGTATAACACGTACAAAAGACAGTTATAGATTTTTTAACATCAAACATTGTTTGTTAAATTTAATACTAATGCTGTATCGCCTGTAACATCTGACCCTGAATCTAGCCCATGCAATAACATTCTGACCCTTTAAATAGCTCCATCATCGTCCTGACGTTCTGACCCCTGATGCAGCGCATGTAGTAACATTATGCCACCCAAAATAGCCACATCGAATTTGATTGGCCAGGTTTCCGGGCTATGGCTAGATTGGGTATTTGTGATATAGCTTGAGAATAAGATAACGGGTCTTGAAAATGAATTTTTTTGAACCTGGGGTCAAGTATAGTTGATATTGCAAGTAGATTAACTTTCTCAGCTGCCCCAAACCTTTTTTTTTATTTCTGCCATTGCAGTGTTCAGCATGGCGTTAGTTTCTGGAGTTGCCGGTGGGATACTTTGAAGTTGTGTGGTGAGGCAATTGATGAGTGGAATAATTTTGCTGGACGTTACGTATTTCTCGCCACAAAGCTCAATTGAAACATTTTCTATAGGTTTCAAAACTTTAATCATATCCGATGCTAATTGCATTTCTTCAGCAGATAGCAAGCTTGGGCTGTTTGGGTACATTAACAAAATTGGGGCTACATATGCAGAAAGCTTTGAAAATCTTCCAACCATAAAATAGGTGGAATTCCACCTAGTAGCTACCTGTTGGACAAGTTTCAGCTTCTCATTTTCTGGTTGAAATTTCCTCAATCTGTCGGCAACGGAAACGTTTAAAATATGTGACTATTGCTGATATCTTATCCTTAATATTGGAAATAGGATATAGGACAACAATTGAAACAAGATAATGTTTTTAAATAGAATCTTTAATTCCACGCAGAAAGGTAACGTCATACACCAACTAAAGTTATAACGAGAATTATCTTAACACGAAACAAAATATGATAGGTAAACTACCAAACCATCTTTTCTACCTAATCCTAGAACATCTTATTTATTGAGGTACAAAGGAGAATATAATTTTAAAAGGTTTTTCTAGGTCGACTGTCTAGACTTATCTGCATAATTTATTTATTTATTTATTTATTGTCTCTTTGGAGATTCAATTTTGAATGTACAGCGTGTCCGAACTTGGATGGTTTTAATAGGAAACGTCAATTTCTGAGCGAAATACAAAAAAATGAACCCCCCACTCCGAGGCTCAAATTTCTTGAAATTTTGATTGGTGCAAACCGCATTTTGATATCTTCAACCGTTTAGTCGCTAGAGGGCGATTCTCGATTTTGAGTAATACTGTGAAATCTTCATAACTTTTTTGTTAATGAAAATATTTGATTTCCTTAAAAACTTCCTAGAAGCACTTTTTCAAGCAGAATTCAGTGACGTTTTCAATTTTTTTCTATTGGGACTCGATTTCAAGATATTGACCAAAATCCGATTTTTTCCAATGGGACACCTTATATATTAATAGCTCTCTAAAAAGCTATGCTTTTGCTGATTTCAATGATATAAATTTCGATGGGTTTATCTCTAACAGTTTTCGAAAAAGAAAATTATTTCGTTTTTTTCCATAAAAAACAATGTGTTAAAAAAGTTCTTTATATTTGTAAGGAGAATGAGAAAGGTCTCTTTCTAACTCATTGTTTCTTATGACAGAAACCAAAATAGTTTTTCTTCTGGAAAACTGTTAGAGATAAACCCATCGAAATTTATATCAGTGAAATCAGCAAAAGCAGAGCTTTTTAAAGAGCTATTAAAGGGTGTCCCATTGAAAAAAATCGGATTTTGGTCAATATTTTGAAACCGAGGCCCAATAGAAAAAAAAGTGGAGGGTTCATTTTTTTGTATTTCGCTCAGAAATTGACGTTTCCTATTAAAACCATCCAAATTCGGACACCCTGTACGTGCTTAATAAAGAAATACCTATTTTACAATATGCAATGGGATTTATTTTTGTTGCAATAATCCAACACTCCTCCTCAAAAATAATCCATCCTGTTTTTTTAAATAATTGAAATTAAAATTTATACAAAATATACCTAAATAATTATTATAAGACTTATAAATAATGACGCACCTTTCTTTGTGTTACCTGGGAGTAATAAAACATATAGGCCAACATTTGTTGCGCAGGATTAGGAAAAACCCAGAAAATAACCTAATCAGACCATTTAAATTAACAATTACAATTATTTATTATTAATACTAATGGATTCCGCCAAACTCAATTCATCTCTGAACTGGATGAACTTCATTATAGGCAACGGTTTTGTTAAAACATCAGCTAGTTGATCACCTGTTGGAATATAAATTAATTTAATTAAACCTTGCTCAATTTTCTCTCTCGAGAAATTATATTTAATATCTATATGCTTTGTTCGCTTATGGTCAGTCGGATTCTTGGCTATACATATGCAACCATTATTATCCTCATAAATAATTATTTGTTTAGTTATATTTATGTTAATACTCGCTGCTAATGATTTGAGCCAAGTTGCTTCCCGGACTGCTTCGAACAAAGCCATGTATTCAGCCTCTGTGGATGAAGCTGCCACAGATGCTTGCTTTTTTGTATTCCAACATATAGTACATCTCTCAAATAATTTGAATAAATACCCTGATGTACTTTTTCTATTATTAACATCGCTACCACCCCAATCAGAATCGACATAGCCACATAATTTCATTGTAATTCCCTTGAGTATATCGTGGCCGTTCTGGAAAAAAACGTTAAGTCCAATTTATCAGTTTTGAGAAAAAGGGCTTTTTAAATTAAAAATATAAGCAAAATTTCATTTTTAAGTATAGAGTAATACTAAATGGAGATATGAGTTAGTTGATCAATAGCTTTATACGAATTAAAAAAAAAAGTTGAAAAAAGTTGAATATCTGTCTGAAATTGACGTTTGATGGACTTAGTGAAGTTTGAATGATTAAAAATGTTGTAATATTGATGAAGATGAAAGGTCTACTTCTACTTAATAATTATGTTAAAACGACTTCTACTGGTAAATTGAATGAAACTTTATTCAAAATAACTGACAAGTCAACTGAAAAATCAAGTCAAATATAAAACATAAAAAAATATGGTTAGTCTTCCTCACTCTCACTTTCACTTTCAACACTTGGCTCTGGATTTTTGTTTATGACAGCTTTTGATGTCGGCAGTGATAAATACCAATGATGAAATTCTATTGGAATAACCCCTGAATTGCACAGCTTTTTGAGATCTTGGTATTTCTGCACCGAAATTGGAAGCATTGATGAATATGCATTACGTACATTGGGTAATGACGTGGTCGCTGTAGCTGAAGGTCTGCCCCGGCCGCCGATGTTTAGGCTAAGGTAATCGCCTTTATGGCTATACCTGTATTTTATTATTCGTGGACAATCTTTCTCTATTCGAAAACACTTTATTTGTAGCCATTTTACTTTCTCACCTTGCGTGTTGACAGTTTTGTTTTTTAAGAGTGTGAGTGAAATAGCTTTAAAATCAATGAAATCGCTGTATTTTAGTTCTGTAACAATGTACGGGTCATTTTTTTTCTTACCTCGTTTCGATCGGGCCATTTTGAAAATGTTTATCCAATCATTAAGGGTATACACAGCTAAGTATCTTTTTTGTTTCTCTATAGCACTATGCATACTATCACATTCCATCATAGAATGCCCCGATTCAAGAAATTTCTGTTCGATTGTAGCAATTTGGTTACCGCCGTAATGCACAAAATAATATAGCATTGCTAGGACGTTTTGGTTCCTATTTTGCCCACCACATGTATCTGAGAAAAAAGAAACGTCTGTTACGTGATTTGGTAAGTTTCTGAGGTACTGAAAAAGACAAGTTGCTATTTCCAAACTTCCTCTAGCTCCATTAACTTCCGTCCACGTAAAACAAAAAGCATTATTGGGTGGGGCCCCTTCATAAATGGTCAGATTGTAAGCACATATTTTTCGGCTGTAGTACATGGGCGAAACATCGCTACTGGGGATCTGAAGCACACTTTGTAAGTCAAATGTTGCGGTAACAAAATTAGCCTCCTTGATTGCCCTTTCTTTATCAAATTTTTTGGATTCATTTGCGTCGAGCTCACGTTGTTTGTGTTCATTAAATGAAATTTCCAATGCAGCTTTTTGATCAGCATTTGCATCTTGGTACTTCATACAAACTGCACACTGGTCTTTGCGTGGTTTAAAAAATGAAAAATTATATTCTTGGCAAAAAGTTCGCTTGTATGTTGTTATACTTTTTGGAATGTAACCCTCTTTTTCACATAATTCTTTGTATAAAGAGTACATTTTAGCAATAGACAATGTCGCGTCCAAATATTTTCTCTCTGAAGATTTTCTACAATAATGTGACTCTGTTAGAGGAAAACTTTCGATATGATTTTTAATAATTTGCTTATCTTCAGGGGTGGTTTTATTAGAGGGAATATGCAGGCCTCGCTTATCATCTCCATTGTACAACCCTGTTGTGTCATTTTTCTTTTGAAAGGCTTTGTTTAAAGGTCCGTTACTTATGGAAAGTGTTTTCAAAAAAAACTTTTGACATACTCTTGTGGCTATACCATTTTTTAAAAAATTAAATTCTTTGGCATTGGTGCGGGATTTGGCATTATCGTTACGATGTCGTTGTCTTTGTGGTACATTAGCTTTAACATTTTGCAGAATAAAGTCTTTTTTTCTTGAATAAACTTCTAACTGCCAGTAACTGGAGCACAATTGAACCCTTTCCTCTTCCGAAAAATTGTCAGAACATTTAAACCTGCACTGAGTACATTCAACATTCTGAGGAGCTTTCGCTGGTTGTGGGCCTTTTTTAGTCGTATAATATGGCTGGCCAAGGTTTCTGCGCTTTTTCAAAATATTTCTTTTCCAGTTTGTTTTATCTGCTTTATTCCATCGATTTCTTTTTTTCGGATTCTCTGTCACTGGTTCTAGAATTTGTTCAATTAAGTATTATTTTATTCAGGCATTCGATTTCTAAAAATTTATTACTACCTGTAAGTTCATCTTCGGATAGCTCTTCAGCATCATTATCAGTATCCAGGTCGTCCTTCGGATTGTAGTCTTTATCTCTGCTATCACTCCCTTCATATGGATCTACAGCATCTTCCTCACTTTTGTCGGACATCTAAAAATATGTCATTAATAAATAAATAATAAGGAATATCGAAATTCCATTTTTTTTTTTTTGACGCTAAACTAAAACCGAATTAGGTGTGTGTACACTTGGACAACTGTATCTACTTACAGAATCTTCGATAGCATGCCATCGGGTATGCCTATCAGGCAAGTTTAGTTTACTTGTCGAGGGGATTGAATCACATGTTATTGCAGCAGGTGCAGGTGCTTCACTAGCCTTATTCAACTAGAACGAAATCCAGCATTAAAATATTAATTTCTGTTCCTGTTAAGAAAATGTAGCTTACATGAGATGTAGAGGCGATTGGTTTAATTGTTTCTTGGCCTTTTAAAGCAATATTTGAATGTACCACTATTTTAGGATAATTTCCGCGATTTTTTTCAAGATTTTCTTCAGATTTTGCATTTTTCACAAGTTCCAATATGCGCTTGCCTCTGCTACCTTGCATTTTAATAACTCTTAAAACTAATAACCAAATATTTCCAATTAAAACTAATTATTTACGGTAGGTATTTAGGACTTACCTGTCGAAATTTTACTCACAAAAACAAATAAACACAATACAAACTGTGATTCTAACCTCACATTTCTCAGCTCTTTGGTCACTAAGTCCAGTCGACCTGTTTTGTACACTGCCAAAAGTAACGAAGTCCACATAATGATTTTTGCTTGTCATAAATCGCGTCTATTGAGACTTAGGTATTTTTTTACATATCGGCAACCAGTAATACATTTAGCCAGGGACTTAGTGAGTTTTGCTAGCGTAAAAAACCACATTTTCTAAAACATTTGGAAGTATTAACAAAAAAATTCTAAAAATGGACTTAGTGACTTATGCCAGAACGACGACGATATATTAATTTAAAATTGATTGTTCCCTTAAGATATCGAAGCAATCTTTTTAAACATTGCCAAAGTTCTTTATTATTTTTAGTCAAATACCGACTCAAAATATTGACAGTGTACTCAAATCTGGTCTTGTACATAGCATCAAATACATTTAACAACCAATTAAATTTCGACATGGGGCATCATATTCAGTGTTGCCAGGTCTATTGATTTATCAGTAAATCTACTGATTTGGCCACTGGTCTACTGATATACTGATATCAATATAAATTCTACTGATAAAAGCCATTACCATTATTTACCTGCGTTCGTGCGTGTTTGTGTTGTGTCTTGTTGTCTTATTTATTTGCCTTTTGTCTTGCCAGTTGCCTAAAGGCATGCGTTGTTGTTGGTTAGTCTTAGTCAATTAGTCACATAACGTTATGTTGTACAACTAACTGCAGCTTGTTTTACCTGTTTTTATAAGACTAAACTACTGCATAGGTACAGGGTTATTGGTTATAAATGTCACCCCCTCTATCTTTTTTATTTGACATTTTAGGAAAAAGTGTCCCAAATAAAAGTTTTATGGTTGAAATTAAATTTTTTGAAAAACTCATATTCGCATATACAGGGTGTTTTAGAAAAGCTGGTCGCGTTCCAACTTTCTCATTTTAAATGGAATACCCTGTATTATTATTGAAGTTTTTAAACTAAGGAGAATAACTCATATTTGAGTGAGTCAGGTGTAATTAGACAACAGACTTTTCTGTGATCGTTCTTATCATACGCTCTGATACACCATTCTGTTGGGGAGTGTATGGGAGGGTTAAATGATAGCTAATACCTGTTTTTACACAAAATTCTCTCATATCATATCATGGCATCATCATTCATCACTTTTCGCAGTATAATCTTTGAATACTGAGAAAAGATCGGATTTATATTTACATAAATACATGACACAATAGTGAGTAAAATGATCAATGAAAATTATAAAATAATTTTTGTCATCAATTGCCGAAGGAGTGATTGGACCGCATATATCTGAATGTACTATAAATAGTGGTCGTTGAATATGACTTTTTTTCTTTCGATTTCTCGAAAGGCAATCGTGCTTGTTTGCCTTTTATACAAGCTTTGCATAAAATTTCTTTTGGCACAATTTTATTTAATTGAGATATATCTACTGTCATATTTTTTTGAATTAATTCCAAAAATTTAGATTTTCCAATATGACCTAAGCGCTGATGCCAAAGTTCATAATTTGTTTTAACATTAGACTGTCGGCTTGGTCGTTCGGTTTCGCTCGACTTCCTGCCTTGTACACGCTGCTGACGTCATGCCAAGGTTGTAACGCGCTTGTGCGTTATACAGGGTGGCGAGTTGTTCTCGCATACCATAACACCTCCCTCCTTGCTGGTTCCATCACTGTAAATTAATTTCAACCAGCATCACTATATCAACATGAACCCTTTAGTACCCCACATGTGTGGGTGCTTGCTTTTCATGTATAATGCGACATCACAAATTTAACAGTCTTTTTGAATTTTTTTTTTTTTACTTACAAACTATACAATCAAAAATATTGGAAATTGATAAGTTGACAACAAGTTAAACAAATTTATTTTTTTTTGATATACCTACCTATTCAAAAAATTTCATCCAATTCTACCATAAAATCCTTAAATTTACGAGGAACTTTAAGAGCTCTCTTTGGTCTACACAAAGTTTCATTTAAACTATTTTCTCTCTCTACATTCTCCGAAGGGGTTGAGCAAGGTGAAATCTCCTCCCAAGGGATGTTTACTATGACATTCGTGTTGTTGTCAGTTACCACGACTTCATCCTGAGGGTTTAGAGATTCCATATTGCTGTGAGGGACTTCTTCATCCCAATTAGTGGGTAAAATACCAATTTTTTTATTTTTAGATTTAGGGCTAGAAGACACATTACCTGACACTTCAACAGATGGAGCCACGCATTCATCCGCCCCATCCTCCTCCTCCTGGCACCGCACGATCTGGTTGGCATGTCTTTTCCATAGTTGGCCTTCTTTCAATCGGCACACGTATGTGGAACGCCCTATCTTTTTGCTGATAGAAACTTTTGTCCATGATTTGTTGTTACGTGTTCTGTAATCCGCCACCATCACGCTTTCCCCAATTACAAAAGCTCGCTTGGATCCCCCATGATTTTTGATCATTTTTTCTTGCTGTTTGGCTTGGAACTGAGGAACCTGCTGAACCATTGACGGTGTTGCTTTGAGCTGACTCAACACTGTTCTGTGTTCCCTAGAAAACATTAGATACGCTGGAGTCTCATTGGTGCTAGCGTGTTTTGTGTTGCGATAATTGAACAAAAAACGAGATATCAATGTAGGTAGACTGTCATTTCTGAGTTTGCCATCAGATAAGTACGTCTTCAATTTATTTTTGAACAGTTTTACCCCATTATCTGCCAATCCACTGCTTTGTTGGTGTCCAGGTGGGGATGTTATGTGCCTGATTCCATTTTTGCTGAAAAATTCTTCCATTTTGTGAGAAACAAATTGAGTGCCGTTGTCCGATACTATGGTTTTTGGAAGCCCAAATCTAGCAAATGTCTCTCTCAATTTTTCTATTGTTGTCTCAGTGGTTGTATGCTTCATTGGGAAAATCTCTATCCACTTGCTATAAGAATCAACAATAATTAAAAAAATCGAATTTCTCATTGGCCCCAAAAAATCTATATGAATTCGCTTCCAAGGAGCAGTCTCCAATGGCCAGGGAGTCAATTGAGTCCTTGGTGGGTTTTGCCTATTTTGGAGACATGGAAGACAACTTTTGGCTACTTTTTCTATATCCGAATCTATGCCAGGCCAGTACATTATAGAGCGAGCAGTCGTTTTCATCTTTACAATGCCAAAATGCCGTTCATGAAGCTCATTCAATAGTTTACCCCTTAGTGCACTTGGAATTATCAGTCTAGCCCCAAACATTAAAATTCCCTCTTCGTAAAATAACTCTTGAGCAATATTAAAATATGATTTTAAATTACCTTCTATTTTTGCTGGCCACTTGTCCTGCTGCACATACTTTATTACCTCCTGTATTTCTTTGTCCGTTCTTGTGCATTCTCTTACTGTTTTGTTGTTGATGGGCCAATCTTGTAATTTTTCGGTAAACCTGATATAACTAACTTTTTCGTCCACAAGGTCCTCTTTCGATGGCAGGATGGGAGATCTAGACAAATAATATGCGACAAAATTTTTCTTACCCTGAATGTGTACAACCTCATAATGAAACCCTGATAGAAAAGCTGCCATTCTGACGAGCCGATTTTCATACATCTTGGGAAGTGGTTTATGCTTGCCAAATATTGCTTCCAGTGGTTTATGGTCACTCCTTATTGTGAATTTCATACCTAGGAGATACTGGTGAAATTTACCTACAGCCCAATGTATAGCTGTGGCTTCTTTTAATAGGGTAGAATAATTTTTTTCTGCTGGAAGGAGAGTTCTTGAAACAAAGCAGATTGGTCTCTCATCTCCAATAGGCATTGTATGTGACAGCACAGCCGATATTCCTTTGTCTGATGCATCTGTTGTCAAGGCTAGGGGGAGCTTTGGATTAAAATTGGTTAGTACAGTGTCAGAGGCGATAAGATTCTTAACTTTTCCAAACGCTTGCTGACATTCATCAGTCCAATTGAAATTTTGATCCTTTTTCAATAAATCATAAACTGGTCTTAATATTTCTGAGGCATTTGGCAAGAATTTGTGATAAAAGTTACACATACCTAGTAATGCTCTGCATTCTGTCAAATTCCTTGGTGGAGGTGCTTTCAAAATGCCTTCCACCCGGGCTTCAGATTTCCTTAGGCTTTCCTTGGAGATTTTGTGCCCCAGATAGCAAACACTCGCTTTAAAAAATGTCTCCAGGTGCTGCTGATTGTTTGGACCTGTGCACAGAATATCGTCCTGGTACACAACTACATTATCTAGACCCTGGAATAACTGCTCCAGATGTTTTTGGAAGCGTCCACTTGCAATGCTACCCCAAATGGTAATCTATTCATTAAAAATATACCTTTGTGTGTGCTCCAAGCTAGAATCTCTCTGGATTCCTCAGTCACCTCAAATTGATTGTATGCCTGGCATAAGTCCAGCTTGGTTAAGTGCTCTCCATTATGCAGCTTCGCAAAAATTTCCTCTATCCTTGGCAGTGGGTACAAATCCTCCTTAATATATCGGTTGACACTACTTTTGTAATCAGAGCACAGGCGGAGGTTTCCGTCTGCTTTTATGATTGGAACAAGAGGGGTGGCCCACTCGCTTGACTCCACCGCTGTTAAAATGCCCTCTTTGACCATTTTATCAATCTCTCCATCCATCATCGTGCGGTAAGCCAGAGGGACAGGGCGGGGCCTTAAAAAAACAGGAGTAGCATTAGCGTTTAGTTCTATATGTATTTTTGCATACTCAAAACACCCCAATTTATTAGAGAAAACGTTATTGTATTTTTTTTTTAAATATTCAATTTGATTTTTAATAATTTTATCTTCTTCAATTTTATTATTTAACAGAACTAGCTTTAGTTTGAATTTCTCTATCAAGTTCATCCCCAATAAGCAAGGTCCCCCTTCAGAGATTACATAAAATTTGAGACTGTCACACTTATTGTTATACTGTACATTTAGAATAATGAATCCCAGGGGAGAGAAGATACTACCGTTATAGCTCTTCAATATTATGTCATCTTTTTTAAGGTCGATATTATTGAAATGTTTTTTATGGGTGACCTCGTTTACACAACTTACTGAACTTCCACTGTCGAAAATCATTTGGA